GAGAGAGAGAGAGAGAGAGAGAGAGAAAGAGAAGAAAAATGAAAAATTAATTTCAAATATAATGATAAATTCTTCTCTTTCTTTCTCTCTCTCTCTCTCTCTTTTTTCTCCCTCTTTCTTCTTCTTTCTCTTTCTTTGCAAATGTAAAAAGGGGAATGATTGAAAGAGATGAAAAGAGGAAAAAAGTGTAATATGTAAATTTTGAAAATTTTCAAAATAAATCTATATCATTTCAAAAATTTTTACACTTATCATTCATTTTTTTTTTTAGAATTTAATTAAAAAAAAAATTTTGAATTTTTTTAAACAATTTGATTTAACTTTTTGTATGTAAAAATGAAAAACATATAAACAACTAATAAACTCTTACCGTGTTGTTTTTCAATACTGATCAAAGATTATACCCGTTTTGGCTCAACTAATATCAACAATATATAGTTTGTATGGGATCATCATCAACATTTATTATTATTATCATCATCATCAACATCGTGTCATCATGTCATCTATCACATCTCATTTCATATCTATTTCATTTTACTTTAACCTTGTCTCACCTAACTGACCTTTCTTCATTATCTCTCATAACCTTTCTCTTACAATCTTTTATACATGTATACATTGAAATTAATTAAATGAGAAGAATATTTCAATTTTCTTTTCTTTGGCAATAACAAAATGGTATGAAATGAAAATAATAAAATAATATGATATTAATTATAAAATTAGTATAGAATTAATTGCAAAAGTTTGTCGACATTTTAAATGATAAATCAAAATTAAATTAATTTCATATTGTTATTTTAATATTATCCCTTTCTTCTCTTCTTTTTTCTTTTTTTTATTAATTCAATCATATGAATTAAATTAATCAAATTTAATAGCATAAAATGAACGATTAATTTCAAATTGATTTTTCAGTACTTAAAAGATTAATTTTAATAGTAGTTAAAATCTTTTAAATATCAACATATTCTGCTTCAAATTCATAATTTGCATTAATGGATGAAATAATATTTTGTAGTAATTGTAACAAAATTATTCCAACCATTAAGCAGTATTTAAATATTTGTCGAAATTAATTTATCGTCGGAAGCATTAAAATATCTTTTCTTTTTTTTTTTAAGTAAAATGGTAAAAAAAATGAAAAAGAAAAACGAACGCAAAATTTTTTGTAAAAATTTATTTTTAAACGAAAAGAAAAAGACAATAAATATTTTTATGCTAAATTTTTCATATTTGTATTAAAATTTGAATATTTACAATTATGAACAAATAACAATTTTATGCTTACTTATATACCAAACATACCAATATAGTACGTTAACGTACTGATAACTGTTATCAGTGTCACACTGATATCTATCTAATCAAATCAAATATTAACTGTAATTATCAAAGTAATACCATTCATAAAAGGAAGAAGAAAAAAGCTGAAATATTTACGACATTGAGAAATCGAAAAAGTAACCTTACAATTAATTCTATGTAAAAAAAAAAAAAAAAAAATGTGTAAGGAATTTCAAATTGTAATAAATTTTTCTCTTAAACACGTCCCGATATCAACCAGTGAAAGATTTCTCGGTCAACAATCTGGGAGATGAGACATTTCTGATACTAATAAAATTACTTTTTCCATCTAATGGGGTCAATTAGAATCTAGCAACATTCCGATATTAATCAGTAATGTTATTTTTCGATCAATAGATTAAAAAAAAACCTGTATACATTCCGGATTTAAACCGGTAAATTATTTCCTTCATCAGCGAGGTCAATAAGATTAACATATCATCTTTTCTTTCCTACATATTTATGTTTGTCAAAAGAAAAAAAAAAAAAAAAGTAGACCATATCAGATATCAGAATAGTCAAATATCATTCTTAACGAAAGATCTCTATGATAAGCAAATTGATATGAAATTTTCATTTGAATAAATAATTTTATTTTCTCAATTACCAGTGATATTAAAATTTTACAAAAGAAAACAAAAAGGAACAAAAAAAAGCTTAAAAAAATTAAAATTAATTTAATAAATGAAAAAAAAAATTAAAAACTTTCCCTCAAATAGTTTGAATTAATTTGAACTATTTTAAAAAAAAAACTTTTTTTTAAAAAATTATTAAATTAATTTAAAAATGCATTATGTAATAGAAATGAAATATGGTATTTTATTTAGATATTTATTGATAAACAAATTTTAAAAAAACAGCAAGAATAAGTGTAACGGTTAATTAATTTCGAATTTAAATAATAATTATATAAATTCATTTTGCAAAAAAAAAAAAAATTAAACATTACACTATTATATTAATAAATTGTAAAATTTGCAAAATTTTGAGCAAGAAAAAATTTTTTATCGCAAATTAAAATTAAATAATTGAAATTTTTATTGGATTAGTACAATTTTAAGTCACTAATAATTTGAAAGTTGGAAAAAGCAAAACAAAAAATTTCAAAAACAAAAAAAATAAACCTCTTCTCTTGGTACTTGAATTGCTTCTTCTTCTTCTTCTTGTCCTATATTGTTATCTTTGATATCTGTTATTTCACATTCATCAAGCTTATCAATATTGGAGGAAGCTGTCGTTGAGTTTGAAAATAATGTTTCAATTTTTGTAAAATCAAATGCAGGTGTTTCCGATGTTGTTGAAACTTTTACTGATTTCGTTGAACTTTTATCATCCGGTTCGTTATACCTAAAGAAAAAAAAATACGTTAATCATTTTAACATTTTCAATCAATTATAATAATCTTAAAATCACCAATAATATAAACAACTTCCTAAATAAAAAGAAAAAAAAAGGTTGCATCCATTCCGGATTGAATATCCGGAAACGATAAATAACATAATGAAGTATGAGAAATTTCAATCGAAAAAAAAAAACGGAGCTATAATATTCTCGAATAAATTTCCAAGTGTGAAATATTTCATTTAATTACTATTACTTTAGGGATGGAT